TGTGTACGTTGTAGCAACTGAAATGTGAATTAGTAGATTTTTTTCCAACTTAGTTGCTCTTCTTTCCACAACTGTCAGCATAGGATACTGGGAGGTTGGAGAAGTTTTCCAAAGACTTAATTTTGTACAGTGCACAGGATAATCCAAGCTTGCAAGTCATGAGTCAACGCGTGCTGCCTTCTTTCCTTAATGTGTGATGGTGCCCCATATTCTACTTCCATGCCATTTAGCTGGGGAGCAAGCTTCCAGGTACAGTCCCCCCAAAAGGCACATTAATGCACAGGCCGGAAACTGTGTTAGTAGGAGAGTTGCGTTACTGTGGAATACATATCTTGGATAATTAGGAGCGGGTAGGAGGTAAATGAGCTGATAGGATTTCTTTTGCATTTAATTTGCATAGTTCTTTGAAAACATTAAGGCATCTTAGGGGGAAAAAAAGCACCACGAAAAACAGCACATAACACCACTTGCCTTTGAACCTTTCCAAAACAAAAATTTTGCAGTAATAATGAGTGCAGAGGAAGAAAGAGGCAAGAAGTAGGTGTATTAACTGACTTGGAGAGTGTGGGTAGGCTTGAAATTTATAATGTTCTGCAGATCTTGGCAGTCTACCAAGGATTCCCCTTGTCCCCTCTGCTTTTCAACATGCATAAAGCCCACTGAGATGAGAAATAAACAGCATATTGCTATCAGACATGACTGGGAATATGCTTAAGTAGTGGATTCAGTTTAAGATCGAGTTAAATGCTGCAGTGTTGCTGTGTTGATGAGAAGAGCTGTATTTTAAAACCCTCCATATGTAAATGAACTTTCTGTCATCTGCATGAAAAGAAACGGGACAAGATGTGGGGTCAGCAGGCTCAACTCCATTGACTTGCTCATCCTAACAGGCCATTTAAAAATAGAATGGTGCAGTGGTGGTCTTAAAAATATTCTTACATTACTTCCTTGGGAGGATAAACAAGTGCTTTAGTATGAACTTCCCTCATGAAAAGAGGGAAAGAAAGGTGGGGAGGATGTGTAAGAAATGACAAGGAGTTTGGAAATTTTGGTCGATAAACATCTTAATGTGGTCTAAATGAAGGAAATGTGTTGGTGGGCTCTTTTCCGTGGGGGTGGGAGCCAGGCTCAGCTGACAGTGCTGACATTTTGTCGTGGCCCCCTCCCCGAGACGTAGTAAGGGGCAAACTCTCGCTCCTGGGATGATGTAGCCTCTGCTACCTGTTGCTGCTATGCAGCACAACCTCTGCAGCCTCCTCAGTCCGTTGGCTCTGGAGACAGTCATCTTACGCTTAACAAGATGCATCTAGGTTGCTGTCATCTTCGTTGCATATTTCATATCCGTACTTCACTTTCTGGCCAGGGGACAGTTATCCTGTGATCCCCAGCCTCTGATATTTGGTATCTAGCGATATTTTAAGAAACTGCTGTTTTCAGTTAGCATGGGTCGCGTTTTGCAATCTTGTGGCGTCTTTCAGATACTGGGATAGTAATTGCCGGCAATTTGCTGGGAGAAACAAAGCTGCAAGAACCTCCGCGCGCCCTGTGCCCAGGGGATGGGGGAGCCTGGGATGCCCCAAGGGACCATGACTCCAGACAGCACTAAAAATGGGGCCTCCTCCTGCAAGAAAAATGCTGTCCCGCTGGAGTGTTAGCCGGTGGTGTTGCTGAGATGGTGTCTGGATGTGGCCTTAATGGTTACCACGTTTATGAAGTGCCCTGGGAGTTGAATAAATTTTAATCCAGGAGATTGAGTTCAGAGGGTTTCTCCCATCTATGACTTCTGCACTTCTTCTGTTGCATTCAACCACTTTGCGATATTATTATTATTATTATTATTATTATTATTATTAATGCAGACAAATTTTTCCAAAGCAAAAGCTGGCTATGAAAATCTCAGTTTCAGTTTCCGAAACAGGAATGCTTAGCCTTTTCATGTTGCAATTATACCAGCATGCTAATAGTTTGACAAGTCTGTTCTTGAACAGAGCTGTTAAGCAGATAAACACAAACAAAAAGCAAAAAAATACCAGCATGCTAATAGTTTGACAAGTCTGTTCTTGAACAGAGCTGTTAAGCAGATAAACAAACAAACAAAAACTCTGCTTATATGTTGTGCTTGTAATGTTTGCTTTTCCCCTCCCTCTAAGAATGTTTTTAATGAAAAGAATGTGGCTTCAAAATGTCCTTCTACTTCTCTCATATAAATCAATGTCACGCACCCCCCCCCCCTACATGTTGTAGATGCTTAGAATATGAGTGCTCCATACATTATGAAAAGGGTATTTGGAGTAATTTTAACAATACTCTGAAATGACCAGGGTTTAAATTTGGCCTGGGATACCGAGCAGCCCACACTTCCCACAGTCTGCAGTTCCCTTGCTTTCCAGTCCCTTAGGAGGGTTATGGAGAAGCTTTTCCCATCCCCGCTGCAGAAACAGCGAAACGAACCACGAGCAATCGCTGTGCTCTGCTGTAGCTGTCGCGGCCCAGCTTTTGATAGGGACTAGTGGAGGCACCTGCAGGATCCTGTAAAGGTGCAGGGGAAGCACAGTTGGGCTGGTGCACGTTAGTCATCCCTAGTGGGCCAGTCTCACAGGGAGGAACAGCGTCTTGAGAAAAGCTGTGAAACTGAGCCCTGGGAAATTTCAGGCTTCTCTCTGGAAATAGCAAGCCCACCAGTAGTTTGTAGATTTAAAAAAGACAAATAGAGCAAACTTCCCATAAAATATGTGGCATCCCATGGATGTCTTGCTGCTTTGCTCTTGTGTGTGCCACTTTTTCTTCTTGGAGTATGTTCTGCCACCATTTTAGCCTCCCTGCTTTGCTGCAGAATGATTGGTGAACCGTATTTCACTGTTTTTTAAAGTTTCTTCTTCCTCAGTCCTTCTTAGTGTTGTGAGCTTTTTTCCTCTGAGATGTCCTTGTTCCTCTCTTATCTTTAGCATATTCTTTTCGTACCTCAAACTGTGCTTCCCCACGTCCTTGGGCCTTTTAGTTCTTTCCACAGAACCGTGGAAAATAGGGGCAGAGCTGAGAGGAGACATTTTTCCACCTCGGTGTAAAAGATTTTCCCCTCCTCCCTTGGTGGGATGGTAAGTCTTGAGGAGAAGACCACAGGTAGAGGTCCAGGGTGGGAAATTGGAGTTGCATCTCTCCAGGGCTTGCTGAAAGGCTTTGGTTCAAGAAGTAGTGAGGTCGAGGTGAGGTCAGTCTTGGCCGTTGCTCGCATGTTACGACACTAACTTTGTTTCAAAATCCAAACCAGCTTGAGACCAAGCTGTAAAAAGAAACTCATGTAATAAAGAGAGTTTACAGAGCCGGCAGAAGCCTAAGTACAGTAATTTATTTATAGAAAGCATGTGGATTGGTTACTAAGGGGAGAGCACAGCACAATACAAGTTGTAAAAGAAAGTGGAGGCTGTGAATTCCGCAGCATTTCATCAGAGTCCTTTCTAATGCACCAGCAACGCCTGGCCATTACCTCCATGGAGGACATCGTAGGGTGTGAAGGGGTCAAGATTTCTCCAAAGAGACTAGTGGTTTGGGGTGCTTCAGTTCTGGGGTGCCAGTCTCAAAAGAATCTATAAAGAGGTTAAGAAGTTAGTCCAGGAAAAAAATGCACTATTGATGTCCATCTGCTATAGTGGGTGCTATGTATAGGTTTCTGCCTGGGAAACTTAGAAATTGGTGAGGAGAAAGGTAAAGGAACTGCGACTTTAGTAAAATGTTTTATTGTGTTTTTTGTCATTATTTGTGATAAAAGTGAAGAAGTGTAGAGGGCATACCTCTTGCTGGAGAGCTTGACTGATTCCGAGGAGAGCCTTTGGGGATGATGCTTGGGAAGGCATTAGGAGACCAGGCTGTTTGACGGGAAGTCTCGGGGCAGACTGCTGGGTGTTAAGCGGAGAGCTGGAAAACGCTAATACTAGAACCATTTCTAAGTGCCTATTTAGAAAAAAAATATAGAACAGCTCATTGATACAGCCCCACCTCCTGTAAAAATATACTGGGGAAAAAAGGGGTTTTGTCAGAAGTCAGCTGAGGCGAGTTACAGCCCTCCACGGCTGGAGGGGCCCGTCGTGCTGCCTGCCTCCAGCCGTGCGATCCGCCTCCTGCCAGCTCTGGCTCTGCTCTGACTGCAGAGTAAACCAGTTTAATATCCTGATCTGCAATCCCCCGCCCCAGCCCGCAGTTTGCTTCTTCTGTGTTAACTTTCTGCCATTTTAGTGATCTCAATCAGCTTATCATATGATCCGATGAGTGCCAGAACAAGCTTAGTGCTCCTGGGAGAAATATGTGACAGGAGGCTGGAGGGAGGCAGGGGAAGGAAGGGTAGGAGCTCCCTGCTGCAGGAGCTGGGATCTGTTAATTCAGCTCCAGCTGTACTGAGAAACTGTACCCTTATGGTAGTGTAGCTGAAGGGAGACGACGTCTTGTTCTTGTCTAGCTATTGTGAGACAGATGAAGAGAGCTATTGCAGGTCTGATGCATGACTTGAAGAAAGCTCACTTTTTTTTACTAGTGAAGACCAAAACAAAGAGAAATGTCCTTTTGCAACCCCCAAAGTGTGCTTGCATTTACCCAGTAAAATATCACCCAGGTACCAGGCACTGGTGCATAGAAATAAAATATGCAATACGTGGAGTTTAACTATTCTGGCATGTTAATAAACTATTATTGCCGACTATGAACTTTGCTAAAGTAAACAGAAGGGAAGCTGTGAATGTAATCTGTCTGTGCTTAATCTTGATAATCATCCTTTTAATGTGAAGAAAAAGAAATGGGTTCTAAGATTTGTGTAAGAATATTTTTAAAAGAAACTTTTTTTTTTTTAGTCACCTAGAGTATTTGTTGTTTTTCATATGAAGTATCAGAAGAGAAGGGTCCAGCACAGTTGGGTAAAACCAGTGTCTGGAGCTCTCGTCCAAATGTTTTGCTCTGTGTATGCTGAAGGGATGGGTGAGACGCTGGTGCTGATGGTTCTCTCTCTTCTTCAGGGTCGGCATGTCAAAACGGGTCAGCTGGCAGCCATCAAAGTCATGGACGTTACAGAGGTGAGTAGAGGAACGTTCTGCTTCATTAGCAATATGGGTAAAATTTAATAATGAGAGATGGCATATGGCTTACCTTGTATTTATGTTGAAGGGCATGGTCTTTGCATGTGAATGTTTGCTTTCTGTTTGCAGGACCTGACCTCTCGAGCCCATCTGCCCTTTACGAGATTTCTGTGTGCTTGTGTGCAGGGCCTCTGGCCTTCACAAATTGCTTTGGCTGGTCCCAGGACGTATGAGCATGCACAGCACACCCTTTTCAGAAATTTCTCAGGAGAGGGGAAAAAAGCCACATTCCCTGCTTCCCACGTTTTTCTCTTAAATGTAGCATCTTGCTTTTACCTAAAAAGAAGGTGAGGAGGCTGCTTGACGTAGAGGACAGTAGTCTCCCTGGTACATTTGCAGCCTAAAAAGGGTATACGTTTATTCAAAGGAAATGGGTCCAATGAAGTTCCCAGAAGCCTGAAAGTAGAAACATCTGCAGGAACGATGAGCAGATTGCTGGCAGAATTCAGCAGTGTAAAGTAGTAGTTGTAACTGACCCAGGGGGATTTACTGTGGAGCTTTAGATGGGAAATTAACCCAGCCAAAGAAATAAAAAATATATGCCCATATTTAAATCCTTAGATATCTTGCAGTTTATGCTGTTCAAAAAGCAATCGGTTTAAATTAAGTCTTCAAAACAGATCAGGAAAAGCATGGGTTTTTCCCTGTTGATTCCATTTGTGTTTTATAGAGTTACATCCGCAAATTAACACAACAGCTTCAGATTTAAAATCGAATGAGATCATTGAATGATATGGCACTTCTGAAGAGAGGTTGTGCCTCTTCAAACCAAGCATCTTATTTTTCTGAACTCCTCGATCTTATATAGGTGAAAAATATAGGGGAAAAATTATATTAACGCGTGTGCGTTGTACAAAGCAGGGAGTCTTTGGCAAGCTGGTTATATTAAGAAAAACTCCTGCAAGGGTGTTGCTGCAATGTTTTATATTTTGGTGTGTGTATAGGCACCAGCAAGTAAAAATGGCCTTGGACACAAGCTCCTAGGCAAGTGGCTGGGGTGTAATGGGTAAACAGGCAGGAGAGGGAGGAAAACAAGAAGGCAGGGTTAGGTCAACTGATAGGACTTCAGTCATATCTCTAAATCTCCTTGTGATCGATGGGCAGTGTGACTGCAGCTCTCTAACTTAAGCTGTTGTGTCTGCCAAGAGCTAGACATTCTTGCTTTGGAAGATGGCCTGATAAAAATCAATTTTCAGCTGGAGATTTTTAAAGGCTGCCTTCGTGAGGAGGCAGTGCTATTTTGCTGCAGTTAACAAGCAGACAAACCAGAGAAGAACAAAGGTGCGTCGACATGCAGTGAATGTTCTTTGCACAGCAAACATTTCCATTTGTGCAGTGGTTTTACACAGGACAGCTTGCTGGACTGTGCACGACAAAGGCTTCTTCCATAACGTTAAGACTGGCTGTACTGCACACTCCCTCTGTTTTTAATAGCATATATTAATCACTAACAGTTGTAATGGAGAGGTTGCACAGCAAAAGGAAAACAATTGAAAAATGCTGTCTGTAGTATGGCTGAGCTCATGTTGCGGGAGATGGCTTGTATTTTGAAACTTTCTGTAATTTTTGGCTGGTTTTGAAACACTAGTTGTATATTGGCACTGTCTATCTTTTATCTCACAAGCTCATGCTTTTTTAGGGGATGAAGGGCAGTCACAGGGAGGAGTTCGGAGACGTTAGCCCCATGCAGCTTAAAAGTGTTGTCATTCCTCCCAGTGGAGCTCATGTGTTTTTACTTCAAAGTAATGAGCCTGCGGAGGCTAGGCTAAAAATGTGGTGTAAATTCTTCCAAGTCGTGCTAAGTCAGCTCCACTTTTTAACACCAGGCGTGGATGATACTGTTGCTAACACCAGGCATGGGTGATGCCATTGCATGTACCGTTTTCTCAGTGGCACATGTGGCTGTAGGATATTCCCGTCCACTCTTGCTTGCTGGTTCCTCGCCTGTCTCCCAACACTTGTGCCGGCACAACTGCCCCGGGGCCAGATGGTGACCTGGATCAGTGAACAGGACCTGGTTCGAGGTTAAAAATACCCTCACTCCTCTCTTTCCCCCAGCTATTTATAACCTGAATCGGTTCGTTGATCTAGTTTAGCACATGACATTACAAACAGTTGTGCTGTCGCTATGAAGAAGGTGGCATGAGATTGGAAAAGAGCTGCTGATGGCTGTGGGGGAGAAGGGGCAGTAGCTCAAATTGACATTGCTGCCAGAGATGGCCATATCATCAAGCCATGGCTTCAGTTCCTCAAGGGATGGCTTCATGAACACCTCCTTTTGCTGGTGGACTGTGCAGCTCCATCCTGGTTTTAGCTCACCACAGCTTACGGGGACGGTGGGAGGAGAGAACGTAGGGACAGAGGGGGCAGTGACTGCTACCCTCAGCACTGCCCTGAAAGAAATGCTGAAGGAACCACAGCCTCAAATTTACCTTCTCCACCTGCTTCAAGAGCTACAGTTAGATGAACTGCTCTTGTAGGCTAATGGTAACACTAACTGTGTCCATGCCCATGGGGAAAGAGGCTTGAGTGGAAACTTCCACAAAACTGAAATTGGGATTTTTTTGATGAGCAGCTACTGAAGCTCTAGGTGATTTGTGCCTCTGTGCATGTTTTACTGGCAGTGTTACGCCTTTCTGCTTAAATACAAGCAGTGCCGTGGAGGATTATTTTGTCTAACCTGCATTGAGAGCAGACACAAGACTGACTTTCTTTCTTCTGGGATACCTCTGATCCAGTGCTTGCTTTGCCAAATGCTTAACAAATTAGAAAGCCTAATGTCTTGGCACGCTCTGTGGGCACACCCCAAATTTTCAGTTTTCAAGGCCCCAATTCTGCAATTCACACGTTGCTCAGGATCAGCGAGGTTACATCAGTTCTGGGCTGCAAAGCTTTGATCACCCGAACAGGAGGGATGTCTAAGTCAGGGTGAAGGCTTTCCTTAAAAAGTTTCGGTTGGCATGAAGAAAACAAGGTAGTACAACCTCCGACTAGAGACGTTGGAAGAAGCATTACGGCTCTGTAATGTACATGGTGCTGTGGAAATGCTCTTCATCCTTCTCAGCTTTTCTTGTGGTTTTCTCTTCAGATTTTAATTTTGAAAAGAATGGTGGTAAGGATGAGAAAAGAGGAGGTGGGCTGAAGATATCAGCTTGATCTTTGAATATATTATGATGCGTTAGTACTGCTGCCTGAAACGTTGGGGGGGTGTTGATGTGCATAAAACTTGCCCGTCTCTTCCACTTTCCTCCTCTCTAAACAAATTAAGAAAAGACTTAGAAGACTGTATGGATCTTTATAGATCTTTAGATCTACAGCACTAAAGCAAGCACTAAAGGATCTGTAAGATGTAAAGATTTATAAGTCTTCCTACAGAATGGTGCATATGTAGGTCCTATTTTCACTTTCTGAGGGTGAAGCTAGAGCAAGCACATGTAGGGTGAAAAAATTGCACTGGAGCGTAGAGCAAATAAAAACAAAAACCCACCAGTCCTCATCCACTGAAAGCTATTCTGTTGTTGGAATGAGCCCAATGACCGTAAAAGGGGAACAATACGAACTATCAGCGTATACACACTTTAAAAATTATTTTCCAAAATGTACATATGTAGGATGAATCTCAGGCTGCACGCGTGTTGTAGGGGGAGGCATTATTTGAGAGATTCCTGTAGTCTGTCTTTAATCTTTGTATTGTAGGGTCTCTCTTCCTTTTGGGGCATTGTTTTGGAGAAGGTGGTGTTCAGTCCATGTTGACCCCTTCCACTCACTGACCGTGCTGTTAGGTTTCCATGAGCTCCTTGCTGCTTACTGGTGTGCAGCACTGTAGCATACCAAGTGAGCCATGACTGATGTTATCAGATGCAACACAAGTACGCTGTAAGATTTGGCAGTCATTGTTTAGTTAGAAGAATCCATTTTCTTGTGAAGCAAATAACATTTAAAACCTTAGCAAACCTTACTTGGCAAATCTGCCTGCATCTAAGCTGTTAACTTGCATTACACCCTAAACAGATGGCTTGACTCTGCTTAACTCTTTTGGAGGCTTTCTTTGCAGCTGCACAGTTGTTTCCAGTGTTAGTCCTGTGTTCCCCTTCCAGCGATGTTTTTCTCTTTGAAAGGTTTAGTAACTGATTTTGAGGGAAAAACACAATCGCTTCTTTTCTGTTTGTTATAACCCCTGACGCTGCTGCTTCTTCCTCCTACCTCTTCCCACACACACTCTTGGCATCCCTTGGGAAAGTTTTCCGCATGCCTTTTTAATAGCAGCATTTCTCAGCTCTTGTGCCCAGTGTTTCATGACTTGTCCAGTCTAGTCTGTGTAAAATTATGCTAAGTAAACAACTGGATACTGTATCCTGCTGATTTATGAAAGAAGCTGGATTGCTTTTAGCGCTTGCCTGTCTTGCCCTTTCTGTACATGCTCTGCAGAAAAATTAACAACCCCAAACCAAAACCTCCAGGCCTGCAGAGACGTGGCACATCTCCCGTACTTAGACAGGAAAGGTTACCCACATTATTCATTGCCATCTTCCCGACTCTGCTGACTGCTTTTTTCTGTTGCAGTAGGCAAATCGCTTTGATTCTGTGAGTCTATATCTTATGGCCTACGTGGTGTTATAAACTGTGATCATGTGGATGATCTATCCATCGTCCGTAAGACATCCCAAAAGCCGTCTGCAGAAAGACTGCAGATAAATAAAAACGTGTGTCTGTTCCCACACATGCAGGCAGACAAAATGAGGGAAAAACAAAAATAATAAACACTAAAAGTTTGCCCTAACTTTTATGCGTGGTTTTTTTTCATGAAAACCCAAAGATGGTCTGTGGATTTTGATCTGCTTGGAGGGGAAAAAAACTAAAAATGTGATGCCACACTCTAGAAGACTGGGAAATGCAGATCCGCACGGCACTGTGCAACAGAACGGGGTCAAGCCAGC